AATCGTTTTTTTAGGTTTTTTTTTTGGTTTTTTTAAGTAATGTTGTTTGAGTGTTTGTTTTTTTATGGTTTTTTTTTATTTTGTTTTTTTCTGAAAAATCATAAATTTTTTATGTTTTTGTTGTTTTTTGTTTTTTTAAGTAATTTTCTTTGGGTTTTTGTTTTTTATGGTTTTGTTTTTGAAAATCAGTTTTTTTGTATGTTGTTTATTTTTTTGAAAATCATAAATTTTTTTTATGTTTTTGTTGTTTTTTGTTTTTTTCAGTATTTTTCTTTGGGTTTTTGTTTTTTTATGGTTTTTTTTTTCTTAAAATCAGTTTTTTTTTTATTTTGTTAATTTTTTTTTAAAATCATAATTTTTTTATTGTTTTTGTTTTTTGTTTTTTCCCCTAATTTTTTTTGAAATTTTGTTTGTGTTTTATGTGTTTTTAAGTTTTTTTCAATTTTGTTGTATTTTTTTTACATTTATACTTCCTTTCCATTTCTTTGTATGTTTGTTTTGTACAATTTTTTTTGTATATTTGTTATTGCAATTTGTTAGTATGTTTCTCTATTTAGTTGATATATTTTCGTTTAGGTTTTTTTTTTCTTTTATGTTTATATAAATTTTTTATGTGTTGGTTTTTTTTTTCTTTGTTTGTGTATATTTTATTCTGTAATTTATTTTAAGTGTTCTGTTAATTTCTTTTTCAGGGTAGTTTGCTAGTATTTTTTAGTTCATTTGATTTTGTTTTTGGTAGTTATTTTCTTATAATTTTTTTAATGTGTATACATTTTTTTATTTTTTGAAGGTGTCGCATTTTCGTCATGGTGCGGGGAAGAATTTAGACCTTATTAGGTCTGGAAACTACTCGATGGAGAGCTCGGGGCCCAGACATCTTAGATCCCGTGGTATTTCGGCCTCGGCTCGTAGAGAACGGGTTCACCATCGGGATGAGGATGAAGATGATGATGAGGAGGAGGAGGAGGAGGAGGAGGAGGACGCATATGAGGATGTGGACGATGGGAGTGGACCATATGATGATTACGGTTCATTCAGTCAGAGGCTAGATGACATGTACAAGACGCATAGGGTAGATGTGCGTAAGGGTAGGGATGGTAGGTTTGTGAGTAGATCTGGCACATCATCTGCATCTACCGTGTCTGGGGCAAGCAGAAAACGGTCGAGGGCCGTTAATGATTCTTGGGTGGTTAAGGGTGCGGTGCCTGGAGGGCCGTTCTTCTGAGTTTCAATTGCCTTGTTTATTCTCTCGAACAGTGTATCCAAAGCAGCGGTGGAAGAATCAATCCAGTCCTTCGTAGCTCTATGAGCACTCTCAACTCTACATGTTGTAGTGTTTCCAAAATGAAGTACTTGGTTTGTCCAATATTTGACAAACTTTTCCCTATGAGGTACCCACTGCTGCATCACATAGTTTATCAGTGCCGGACACCATTGGTACGAATCCATGAAGTTAGCCAAGGCTCGATCGTACTCTGCCTCCGTGGTAGCTTGAAGGATCTTCCGCCACTTACCATTAACCAATCTCTCTGCACTTTCCAAATTCTTGTTGAAGAGGTTGTAGGCTTTCACTTTCACACAGTTGTTGATGTGCCATGTGCATAATAAGTGCTTCGATTCTGGAAACAACTCTGCTATGGGGGCAAAGAGACCTCCCTCACAATCACTGACGATGGTTAATGGCTGAACATTAGGGCCGATGTAGTTTCTCAGCTTCTCCAAGACCCAATGATAACTCGCAGCCGTCTCATCCTTGATGACAGCATAGCCAATCAGAAAGTTCTGGTTCATTGGAGTCATCCCAATCATCTCAACCAGTGGGAACTTGTACTTGTTTGTCTTGTACGTTGAATCGATCAAAATCACAGTTGGCCAAGACTTGATCATATCAGCACAATCAGGATACACAAGGAATAGATGAGTCACCTCCGCTGTATCTTCATCAGAATAATACCAGAACAGGTAACCACGTGCTTGTGCCTGGTGTAGAAGCTGCTGTATAGGGTTCCTTCCCTCTGACCGTTCAAACCTCAGTTGTTGTCTGACGTTGTAGATGTGTCTTCGGTTTGGCTGGTCTTCAGGAAATTTCTCTAGCACAGATGCTAATATTTTAGCAGGCTTCACTTGAGCATCACTCATTTCTTTGACAACCAGTTTTGCAGCAGGACTTAAGCCGCTCAATTGTCGATGACCCACTTCATATACTATCATCTCATGGTTGTGATACCCCCATTTGGAGTAACCTTTCACTTCCCAACCTTCACGACTCTCTAGTTGCCGAACCTTTACTCTGAACTCACACCCACAACCTTTCCGCTTTGTATCAAACCGAGTGGCTGTACTGAAATCTCTTTCTTCTCTTTTGCGATAACGGTCGCATCTCAAAATGCGATCCATTCTACCATCCCGTTGAGATTTATGACTTGTTACTACCAAGCAAAAACCAGAAATAATTGCAACCTGTTTAGCCCAATCAATCGCTTGTTGAGCATCTTCGAAGGGACCATCATGTACAAATATCCCACTGTAATCATTTCCGTCTCCACCGTAATCCTGCATAAATTAGATATTATATTTAAATACATATAATTATGTAAAGCGTAAATTAACACAAAATTAAAAACATAATTATGTATAACAGTATTCATACACATACAAAATTAAAACATAATCATTTATAAAAGTATTCATACGCATACAAAATTAAAACATAATTATGTGTAAAAGTATTCATACACAAACAAAATTAAGACATAATTAATTTTTTTGTAAATTATTAACACAAATCTAATTTCCACAGACAAAATTATAAAATAAATTTATTAGCAAATATGTAAAATATTATTTCAAGTTATACATATTTTTTTTACAATTTAAATTTTTCCAATTTATTTAATAAAAAAATACAAAAACATTAAACATCTAATTTCCACATACAAAATTATAAAATAAATTTATTAACAAATATTAAAAACATAATTACAAATAAAACATTTTCTTTTTTTTTTAGAATTTATAAACAAAAAAAAAAAAAAAAAAAAAAACTAAAGGCAGTGGCGCCTGGCAGGACCACCACCACCATGGCAGTGGCGCATGGCCAGGACGCCGCCACGGTGGGAGTGGCGCCTGGCCAAGACGCCAGGACCGTGGGTTTGGCGCCTAGCCTGGAAGCCACCACCACGGTTCTGGCGTCTTGGCCAGGCGCCACCTCCACGGTGCCGGCGTCCTAGCCAGGCGCCACCGCCATGGCACCGGCGTCCTGGCCATGCGCCCCAACCATGACGTTGGTGGTCCATGCTCACGCCTCCGACGATGTTTTACCTCGTTTTGCTGCGGCTCTCCGGTCTCCCGCGCGGACCCAGTACGACTCCACATTTTTGGATGTCAGAATTTTTCGTTTTACGGTAAGATTTCACAAATGGCCAAAAGTGCCAAACTAAGTGTCTTTTTCAATTCGATTTTTCGATGTTAGAGTTTTTCGTTTTTGGTAAGATTCCAGAAATGGCCAAAACTGTCAAATCACGTGTCTTTTTTAATTTGATTTTTCGACGTCATACTTTTTCGTTTTGGGTAAGAATTCACAAACGGGCTTTATGTAGTAATTTGTGGGCGATGTTTAACAAATCCCTAAATTTCCCGCCACTTTTACTTTTTTTTTTTTGTTTTTTTTTTTGTTTTTTGTTTTTTGTTTAACAAATCTTCATGAATATTATTTTATATATCATATAATATTTAACTTTCAATTTGGTAACTGTATACAAAGTATAGTCCATATGCATTCAATGAAAATATTTTAACATATCTTTCATATATTTTATAATAGGTATTTTTCTATAATAAACAAACATATACTACGTATAAGGTAATATATTAGAATAATGTACTACTCCCGTACTCCGTATCATTCGACATTGTATCTTTTTCTTTGAAAGTTTTTTTTTTTGCTCCAACCAGGATTTACACTTTAGCTTTTATTATATATTTGTTGATTTATTTATAATAATAACACCATAATTCAATAACTTTAAATGTAAAATAAAAATAAAAAAACCTTGATTATTGGCACAAAAAGTAAGTCCATTAAATTTGTATAAAACATTGTGCCGATCAAAGTATGCTATAAAACATTGTGCCCGGTCAAAATATGCCAACAAAATAGGGTCATAGGAACGTATGGGGACATGGGGTATATTGGTATATAAGTACATTGCACGGTTTTATAATTAACATAAAATTTCATTCTTATATAAAATCTTATAATCATTGAATTTGCGTTTCTTTTATTCTTTTTTTAAATGTTTAATGATCAATAACTTTTGATATCAATATAATATAAAACTCATGTTTTTTTTTTGAAAAGAAATTTAAGTACAGAGTTTTTGTTTCATTCAAAAATATTGTTTTTTTTTAAAAAATTATTGATATATTAACATTGTAATTTATAATTAGGTTAAGTAAAAACCGTGCATTGCACGAGACTTAAACTAGTCTTGCTCTAAGCTACTTCTAACTGCTTAGAGAGTACTCCCTCCGTTTTTTTTTATAAGCTAGAGTTGGGATTTTCCACTATTTATATATTACCATTGACTTAATTATTTTACCAATATATAATATATAAATATGATCATATAATATGTTGTTGGATTTGTCATAATGTCTACTTTTATAAATTATTTTTTTCATAATTTTTACTAACCTCTCATTAAAGATATTAATAGTCAAAGTTATGTCTCAGCAAATGTGCAAATCTAACTCTAGCTTATAAAAAAAAAACAGAAGGTGTACTAACTACTTTTAAACAACTAAGGGCCTGTTCTGTTCAGCTTAATTTCAGTTCAGTTCAGTTAAGCTACAATCAATTTAATTCAGTTTCCTTCCTAATTTCCTTCTTTCATAAACACTTCAGTTCAGCTCTATTCAGTACGGCTCAGCTCCAATCACTTTATTTCATTTGTTTTCCCTAAATTGAAACAGACCCAAAGTATATAAACTTTGAATTTTCTTTAACGTTCTATACCTTTGTCCTCTAAGATCATGTCGTTGAGGACTTTCATCAAACACCTTCCGAGCAATCCTCTACTGGTACGCTTCTCATCCCTGCACTCTCTCCCCTATCTTTCTGCACACCCACATCATCAAAATCATCATCTTTCACAACCCCAACAAAATCAGCAAGACCCATATGCACTAATGAAAGAAGACCCAATTCAAATTTGCTCAGAAATCTGGGTAAAATCCTTCTCAACTCCAAAATCAAAGCTTTTCTCTAATCTTACAGGCTTTCTTTCTAAATTTGATATCTGGGTTTTAGCATACCAACGTTCTGTTGCGCATTTCACTGGTTCATTTCCTACCTCAAGCGCCATTCACTCGCAGACATTGCATCATCTTGTATCGCTTCGTAATGCTGTTGTTAAAGGTCAGTTTCAATGGAATATGAAAACTGAATTGTATATTCGTAGTCCAATTGAAAAACCCATTACTGAATTTACCTCTAAAACAACTTTGAAGAAGCTGTTGGGTTCTAGTAACCCACCGTTTCAAGACCGTGTTGTTCAGGAGGCATTGTTGTTGATTCTTGAACCTGTATTTGAGTCTAGATTTTCGTCAAAATCACACGGTTTTCGTCTCGGGCGAAATGCTCACACTGTAATTAGGACTATTAGGAGTAATTTTGCTGGGTATCTTTGGTATTTGACAGGTGATTTGAGTGAGGTTTTAGAGAATGTTGATAAGGGTTTAGTGATGAACTGTGTGGAGGAAGTTGTGAAGGATAAAAGGGTGTTAGGTTTGATTAATTCTTCCTTTAGAGGGACTTCAAAACGTTGTTTCGGGGTTGATGATGGCCGGAAGTGGAAGAGAGGGGCGGGGAAGAGGAAGAAAAAGAGTGATGAAAAACGTAGGAAGGTTTTGAATCCGAATGAGCCAAAACCGGATCCTTATTGGCTTAGAACATTCTATAATTTTGCACCAGAGGAGGCAGCTAAGGTGCCTAATTATGGGCATTGTGGAATTCTTAGTCCTTTGCTTGCCAATGTTTGTTTAAATGAACTTGATCATATGATGGAGGAGAAGATAGTTGAGTTTTTTTAGGCCGTCTATGCTTGACTCGATATGGAAGGATTCAAAGACTGATAGTTGTCATAACCCTGCTTGGCCTGAGTTTGTTCCATCTGGTGGGAAGGAAAAAACAAGAAAAATGGATTATATACGATTTGGTGGTCATTTTTTGATAGGCATACGAGGATCCCGGGAGGATGCTGTGAAGATAAGGGAGGAGTTGATTGACTTCTGCAGTAGCAAACTAGGGATAATGTTGGACTACTCGAAGGTGGAGATTGAGCATGTAAGTAGGGGAATTTTGTTTCTAGACCATGTCATTTGCCATCGTGTAGTATACCCAACATTGCATTACACAGGTACAGGTGGTAAAACTGTTAGTAAAAAGTGTGTAGGAACATTGCTTTCAGTTACTGCTAGCTTGCCACAATGTATTCGCCGATTCAGGCGCCTTAACCTGTTGAAGGGTGAGAAGGATCCAGAGCCATTGCCCTGTACTCCGATGCTTTATTCCAGCCAAGCTCATACAAATTCTCAGATGAATAAGTTCCTTGAAACCATGGCTGATTGGTATAGATATGCTGACAACCGTAAAAAGGTTGTTGGCTTTTGTGCTTATGTGATCCGCAACTCTTTAGCCAAGCTATATGCTGCCAGGTATAAGCTCAAATCTCGTGCCAAGGTATACAAGATAGCTTCCCGAAGCCTCAGTCATCCTTTAAGAGGCAAAGGAAACAATGTGGCATCTGAGTACTCAGATCTTCTGAAGTTGGGTCTTGTTGATGCCATTGAAGGTGTGCAGTTTTCTCACATGTCTTTGATCCCCAACTGTGATTATACTCCATTCCCTCGTGTTTGGGTGCCTGAGCATGAACAAATGTTGCTTGAATACATCAAATTACAAGATCCTAAATTCTTTTCTGAACTACTTAAGTCAATCAAGACTCAAGGTCTAAGTCTACCCCAAAATGAGATATCTGAAATTGTTTGGGACTTTAAGACTCTTGGTGCACGTCGGTTTGACATCGCATCAGAAAAGCATCCTTAAGGGTAGAAATGGTCTATTGGCAATATGGAATCAATTTGTGTGTTCCCTTTATGTTTGTACTACCACACTTGTAAACTTAAAGCATGTGCATATTAGTATAATTATAGAAGGGGAGGCTACAAATACGAAGGTTGCTGAAACAGTTTTGGGTTACGATTGAGGTGAGATGAGAAAAAGATTTTATTCATCTCATCCTTTTTCATTACATATACCAACTTACCAAGGATTCCTTGTTTATGTATAGAACTTTAAAGATCAATGTCTAATCTAGTTTTGCTGGTGATGGTGCAGTGAAGCAATACACCTGTTCTTAATAACACGGTATGTGTTGTCAATGTAGTTATTTTCACCAATCAAACAGCTATGAGAACGTGGATTTCTGAGAGATATTAATGTTAGAGCTGGTGAAGGATGCTTGGTGTTCCAATGTTGGGACTAAGATCTAATTCAATATTACTCTTAACTATCAGATTCAGTGCAGCAGCTCCTATCTGGATTCTATGGTAAATATACTTGATTTTTACTATCTTAGCTTATAATGCCTCTCTTGTGTCACGTGGTCTTTTTCTACTTTCATGACCTGTCATAATTCACTATCTTGCACTGAGCAAGGCTCACCTGTCTATTGAAAGGAATGAGATAGTCTCTTTAGTGGAGAAGGGGTTTGGGAATTCCCTTGAACTAGGTTCCATTAATTATAATGTGAATAGAGGAGGATATGGACTCCAATGGAATAATAATTAAGACTCAATTGCAATTATCTAAGGCTCTTATTCAAATTTAAAAAGTATACATGCCAGACATTTCTCCTATCTTAATGTCGGGTTTGAAAATGAATTCAGATTTCAAAGAAGTATTAGGTTGAAGGGAAGCTTCTTTAGTGGTATTTGATTGGGTATTATAGAATGGAATTGAATGAGTTTAGGAGTGAGCTTGATACTATATCAAACTCACCCCTCAATTTCTTCACTTTATTGCTAGATTCATAGTGCACTTTTTTTAAAAATGAACCATAACATTCCATGCTTTTGTACTTTTGTAGTATGTAGTTTTTTCTTTTTTTAATCTAATTTTGTACTTCATTCTATTCCTTTTTATCAAGTCAACCACTCCCTTCTCTCTATATCGAGTTCTTATCATTGCCACCTTTCAACTTTTCTTGATGCCCTTTAGTGTTTAGAGTGTCCAGTATGAGAGGGTGGAGGGCTTTTTGTATATCCTTCAATTTATAATTTAGAAGAATACCATTAGAGTAGGGAATTAGTGGCAAATCTCATTTGCTACATGAGAAATACTGCAGTTTTATTTTATTTTTCTTTTTTTTTTTTTTTATTTTTTATTTTTTATTTTTTATTTTTTTTTGTTGGTAAAAAAATGCAGCATTTAATAACACAGACTTAAAAAAAATGTTTCTCAAATGCTCTGAATGAAAAATTTCTTAGCATTTGAGTAAAATGCTCCAGTTTTCCTATTACTGCAACATTTGAATTAACTGAAATAGAGAATTTGCTTCCCTCTCTTTCTCACGAAAACCCTAGTTACCGCCTTTGCTCCTCTTTCACTTTCCTGGTTTCCTGCTCTCTCAAATTCGATCCCTTCTTCCCTGAGCTACCTTTTCCTAATCAAGAGATAAGGGATGTTAACTCTCTGTCTTCCCAAACTTCAATTCTATGTTAGTCTGCGTAGAGGCTATAGTAGTGTCTCACGACTGCAATCAAACTACACAGAAAGTGTGAGCTCAAAGTGGTATGGCCATGACAGAAGTCGCAAACACTGGAAGTGGTGTTCTTCCTAATCAAACTATCTACATCAACAATCTCAATGAAAGAATCAAACTCAATGGTATTTCAGTTTTGCCTTAATCTCTTCACTTTTCTCTACTCTTCCGCTTGCTTATGCTTTTAATTCTTCTGTAATGTGTTTTTTCAGAGTTGAAAAAGTTGCTATATGAAGAGTTTTCTCAATTTGGGAAGATAATCGAGGTATTTGTCATGTCACCCTTCTCTTTTATTTCAAAGTTATGATTGTAAGACAACAAGATCTACTTAATGATTTTAGATTTGTGTCATTGGTTAGGGCAGTCTCCTTTTAATTAAAGGAACTTTAACGTGTTTTATAGTGTGTAATAGACCAGGATTTTCAGATCATAAGTTCTATTGAACAAGAAATTTTAAAGATAAAAGCTCTAGTCTTTGATCAATAATGGAAGAAATTTGGATACAAAAGTGATAACTTTAGGCTATCAGTCTCAACTAAACTTCATTCAAAATTCACATAACATGCTACTACTGCTCTATTGGCTATGTATACTTCAGCAATTACAATAACCTAGAATTAATTAGATTTGTCTTCTTCTTCATCAGAGAATTAGCTTGTCCCCTTGTTCAATTGCTTAATGCCATAGTGGGTTATTAATTCATTTTGTCCGCTTTTGCACTGCTGGGCTGCTGGCATTTGGTGACTGCTGCTTGCTCCCTTCCCTTTGGATACTCTTCTCTTTGCCTTTCTTCCTCCTCACGTACACACTTAGTGGTGGTTTGAGTACCCCATGTGAGTCTATCACATCACCTTGCCTGAAAATTCACCTTGTCCTCAAGGTGGAACTTAGAGGAGTGTTGTGTCACGTCCTGCTTGTCTACCCAAATCGCCTCCAAAGTTGGTTCGCCATTAAGGTTGATTGGCAATCCGGCAAAGGTGAATTTCATTTCTTGAGTCTTCGAGTTGGTGGCTACCACTCCTAACTTCTCCTACAATTGAATTCCCAAAACTAGATCATCGTTTGTAGAGGAAAGAAATCTTCCACAATCGTCACACCACCATCAATCTTCACATTCAACCCTACACACACTCCACTTCCTTTGACAATAGCTCCATTTCCTAAAGTCACATAAGAAAGCTCCTCCTTTTTCCACGGGAATTGTCGCTTTTTCCACCACCGTCATAGAGATGAAATTGTGGGTCGCTCATCACCACCACTCCTCGATCTCCGATTTTTCCCTTTAATTTCATCGTTTTGGGTTGGATCCATCCACCATTAAACATAAGTAACTTTTCACTGCGTCCCATCTGCCATAAATCCACCGTCCTCGTCAACAATTTCATCATCTTCCACTGCCAGTTCCTTGCGTGTACACCAATGGCCTATTCCCTGGCGCTCGTGACATCGGAAACATAATCCTTTTGCTCTTCGTTCTTGGAGCTCTAATTCTGTTAAGCGTTTTGTTTCTCCATTCTTCTTACTTAATGTATTGGAGGAAGACCGTCCAGAATTTAGAATTTTTTAAAAGAACGCCTTGCGTTCAACAATTGATGGGCTAGCCTGGCTTGGCACTCTATAAGTCTAAATTAAGCCCAAATCCACTCCTTTACTATTCCCACTTAGTTTGTTAGGAGAATTGACGCAAATCTTGTACCTCCCACTCTGCCCATGTGGATCTGGTTAACCTAATTATTTTCTTCAATCCGCTAATTTCATTGCTCAAGATTATATGGGTTAGCATGCAGAGTTCAGTTTTTATCGATGAATCAAAAGTTATACCGCAAGTGCACGGTGTCTGTTGTTAGCAAAGACTTAGCAAATCCCACGGAAGGACAAGTTCTATTAGTTTTTGCTCAATTATTGTAAACTATTTCAAAATACGAAGAGTGATTTGATTATCAATTAACTAAACTAGGACAATATTGAAATTAAGGTGTTTTCAAATAAATAAAGTTCTAGGGCATAAGTTCGGTCCACCATTTTTATACCAATCCAAGAAATGCAAAACAATTCATTATAAACAAACTAAGTCAAATTGTTAAAGCACTTGTTAATTCTATGTTTGGGAATTAACGCTTACGAATTAACATATGTAGTTCGGTCGCTAACATACTCAAATTCGCCAATTGTAATTAAGCCTTTAAAAATATGATCTTTCCATTCTAATTTTTATTAGCTAATTAACTCATGATATTGGCCAATTACATAAATCAAACAATAAAGCACAAATCAATTGGAATTACTCAAACATAATTCATGAATTTCTAAGGAGGTAGGTAGGATATGAAGCTTATGGATGTGCATTAAAATGAGGTATTTAAGGGATAGAGGAAGATTTTTGTGGATAACTATACGAAATAATCACTTTTGGTTCACGTAGCCGACCCCACTTATAGGATTAAGGCTTTGATTAATTGATTGATAATGCACAAATAATCCAAGTATAAACATGGCTTCCCTCACTTTGCCTTAGAAAATGACTACTCACTCAGAATTGAAATAAACAAGACAAAAGAGATAAATAAACTTGAATGCATGATCAATAAAATAAAAGAAGAAAGATTGAAAAAAAATACCTCTAATAAACTAGGGTTCAATGGAGAAAGAAAACTAAAGAAGCGTTTAATCTAAAATAAAGCATATGAGGAAAAATAAAATCCTTTCTAAGTATTTATATTCTTGCCTAATTCTAAGTCAAAATAATAAATAAGTACATAAGCTATGATTCTATTGGATGATAAGCGATGATGTGGCACAATACTCGACTTGATCATGCCAAACGGCTAAGAAGTGCTGGAGCAACAACGAGCTATAGCTCGTTGCAAGTGAGCTATCGCTCAACATTAAGGTAGAAGCGTCGAGCTTAGCTCGTTGACGAGCAACCAATGCAGCTAATGATGCAAGCTAGCTATAGCTTGCATAGGGCACTGTGCGCGACAGTGATGAGCTAGCAAAGGAGCTAGAGCTGGATTTACAACTCTCAATGTATAAGGCATATCCCTTGGCTTGTCGATGCATCGAAAGCTTAATACGAGCTCGTGCTGGCTATAAAGGCTATGAAATAACTCCAATTCGCTTATAGGGATCTATTGGGACATATATAAGCACAAGGTTAATGAGTTATCGACCTCAAATCAACATCCCTCCATCCAACGATTACTCGAAAATGCTGAATTCTTCTGAGAGCGTCCAAATAGCTATGAAAACTACCGAAAACATTAAGAAAACACAAACGGAGCATAATACAACACGATAATGATAACTTATGCATAAATGACTCTAAACTAGCGACTAAGGACTTATAAGTAACCATAAAAGCAGCAAAAATGTGTCCAACAATCCTATATATATGATTTATCAAATTCCCCCAAGCTAAACCGTTGTCTGTCCCCAAGCAACACTTGACTCAAAACAGACGAACACGTTAAACATGATTTCCAGGAACCAGAATAGGACCGACTCGGTTCTTGAGCAAACAATCAAACCATAGTTATAAAGATCAAAATTTAGCTCAGATACAAATAGAATTACCTTACATCATGATCCACAATTGAAATTGAACTTGACCATAACCCATTTCCCAATCAAGCTAGTCGTCGTTGCACACCTTGCAGAATTTAAACATTTGATGCGGAAAAGGTTAACGTAAAGCAACAAGATATTATGTTCACTCAATTATAAAACACACATGTCCATCAAAAGGACTTTGTAAGCTTGTAATGGGCCTAAGGTGAAAAGGTAGGATAATATTTAGGAAGATGTGAACGAAAAGCTAACTTGGGAAGCATAAATACGAACATGAACATGACCAAATGTAAAAGATCGAAATGGTCTTTGCTATTCCACCCGACCTTGCAAATATCATCAAAAATACTATGGAAGTAAAGATTGAAAACAACTACACATTATCCATGAATTTCTTCTCCTTTCGTTACCTTTTTTTTTTCAATGAACATATAAACAAGCTCTTTTTTCTCTCTCTTTTTTTTTTTCGACTTTCGTTTTTTTCTTTTTTTTTTTTTTTCATAGCAACACTTCTCAACTTTAGATACAACCCCATCAAACTCATTTAACCACGGTTCACATAGACAATAACAAACAACGACACCTCATCAATGAGCTCCCCTAGACTTGGGAATAGTAACCAATGGGGCTATAGAGGCTTGTAATGTGGCTGGATATCAATGAATGGGCAAAGACATTAACATGGGTGAGTAAGAAGAGAACTAATGTATCTAAATATCATCTAAAAGCTACCTAGAGAAAATGGCCTTTTTCATACGCAGCATGCATAAGTGATAATCTAATTACTAATAGATCTCAAACCAAAGTTACTTAAATAACAGATTACATTAGTCACACAAACACAAAGTATGGTGATCTAGCAAGAGAATTGGCTACCTATACTTAGATACGAGACAACCTATCTTACCAATGTCAGGGAATTAGCATTGTATAGCACAAACCGACTGAATTTTGAAATCATAACTAAGGTAAAAGAAACTCAAAAGAATCAAGTTTAAGTATGCGCACGGTTCGAAATCACAAGCATAGAAAGAAGACACATGAATGAAAGGAAAGCGACTAAAACAAAATAACTAAACTTGGAAAGCAATACATTTTTTTTTGGTACGTAACCTCCTGCTCCTAGTGAATGGTATTAACCATACAATAATCATAGGAAAGCAACTAAAACTGCGCTATGAAAGCAGTTAAAGATAGACATCCCTCCCCCAAGTTAAACTAAATGAAACACGATGTCCTCAATGTAAAAATACATAAAGACAAAAGGAAAGGGAAGAAAAAATTGCTCATTGATTAGGAGCTGAAGTGGGAGTAGCATCACCGGTAATAACATGAGGGTCTTCCCAGGAAGCGGTAGTCGGAGCAGCTTCATCTCCTCTAAGTGGTGCATGCTCTTACTTTGGGACCCTCAATGATTCGAATTTCTAGGATGTCTCCTTTCAAAAGGAGGTGAAAGAAGACAAAATAGCTTGTAATGCCTCCTTTATAGTCAAAGAAACAATAGTAGTGGTCAGAGAAGAAGCTCCAGATTGACATTAGTAACATGTGGTGCTTGGGTGCTGATGATCTGAGATTCTGAATGACTAACATCCATATAGTTTGGTGCAAATGTCCATGAATCATCAAGTCTAAATAAGCCTCGACACGAGGGAGGTAAGAGTAGTGTATTTTTCGTTTTCCTTTCAAATCCCCCTTTAG